GTCCCTTGGACTGCAAGGAGATCCAACCAGTCCATCCTGAAGGAGATCAGTCCTGGGTGTTCATTGGAAGGATTGATGATGAAGCTGAAACTCCAGTACTTTGGCCACCTCATGTGAAGAGTTGACTTGTTGGAAAAAACCCTGATGCTGGGAGGGATGGGGGCAGGAGGAGGAGGGGACGACAGAGGATGAGATGGCTGGATGGCATCACCGACTCGATGAGCATGTTTGAGTAAACTCCGGGAGTTGGTGATGGACAGGGAGGCCTGGTGTGCTGCAATTCATGGGGTCGCAGAGAGTTGGACACGACTGAGCTACTGAACTGAACTGAACTGAATGTATAAACAAAATATAGAAAACCAGTAGAGTGGTAATTTTATTGGAATAGAAACCATTTCTCCAATATAATTCCTTTAACTGAATAAAAATGCTGAAATGCATCTTAAGTTATTTCTCTTTTATATTAGGGTACTTCATTCAACATATATGCAGTAATCAAAGCCAGGGTATCAGATGACTCAGGCTAGGTGATGTGATGTCACCTGGATTATGTCACATGGATATGTATCACATATATGGATTATGAAGACTATGGTGCAAGATCATAGTTACATTCTGCCAGTTTTAGATTAACCTATCTAAGCCTTAGTTTCCTTATCCTTAAAATGAAGCTAGTCTGCTTCGTAAATTGCTTTGAACAGCAAACAAAATAACTATACAAGTATAAATAGGCTATGAATTTCACTCTCAAGAAGCTAGGGATCTAGATAAGAAAAAGACTATAATCTAGAGGGGAAAAAGTAATGAGTCTGCTAAGAGTTATGATAACATGCTTTGGGAATATAGATGAAAGAGATTTCCCATCTAGCTAGTAACAAGAAGAACAATTACCTGGAGAGTGATGTGTGTGTTGTGGGGAGAAGGGGGCAGGTAGGGTGAGGAATGTGTCTTGGATTAGTAATATTTAGTATTATTGAAGGTGAGCTAGCAAAGTCAAGGAGAGAGGTGATGGTACACAGCTTGACCGCCAGTAGAGACATAAACCCGTAATTCAACTTCATAGGATAGCATTAAGGAACAAAATCAACAGAAAGCCTACTACAGTTCTATTCAAACCAATATTCAAAGCAAGTTAGAAAAAGTGACTTTTCATATCCAATTAATGTAATGACTCACACTACGGGTTAAAAGAGATAAAAGCCCTGCTGAGGAACACTTTATTCTGTACTTGTTCTGAGAGAGTAACTGCCTCTAAGGTAAAGCCTTGGAAGCACCCTGTCCTCCCATTACCCCAAGTCTTGCCAATGATTCTCAGCAAGAATGGCTTCAAGCAGAGAATTCAACTGTAGATTTGAACCTCCAGGTCACCATTTACTTGCCTTTTTCACTTCAGTCAAGGACCACCCTAAGAGAAAAGGTTCATTCTAATTTCTAATGGAAATAATCTTTGTGTTTCAGTTATCTTTCCAACTGCAATCACATGGTTTCACTTTGATTTTTCAGCAAATGACAGAAGCTTTCAGAACATGTTTGGATGCTGAGAAATGGGATATTTTAGTGACTCTGTAATCTTTAAAATCTCATCTTTTTAAAATTAAAGAAACAAAGAAAAGTGTCCTACAGAAAAAATACAGAAGACATCAGGAAGGATCAAAAGATGGAGGTTAGAAAGGAGGCAAACAATGAATAAGGTGTAAAATTAAAAGCTCTATAGCAATTCCAGGCAGCATAAGGGAAATTACTATAGTTTTCTTTCTCTCTGGTATGTTTTTAAAGGGAAAAAAGTGATTCTCAGGGGAGAGTAACACAGAAAGGAAAGAGGAAAACAGCTGGCTGTGGGCCATGATTTAGCATTCACCACAAAATGAGACTCTGTTTCTGTATCTCAAAGGTCATTGCTTTTTCCAAGAAGACACAGGCTCTACTTACACAAAGTCAATCATAATGAAGAGACACAAGACATAAGGAAGAGATCTAGACAAGTAACTCCAAAGAAAGGGCAAAGATGTAAAAGTCAAATTTTACTCTAAAATATTATTAAAACAAAAGCTCTGTATAACCAAACTAGCTCTCACATCCTAGCAATAGCTCACTTCTCTCAAACACAATATAGTAAAATCTAATTGTAAAAATGCCTTGCCTTTCTGATGGTGTATTTTAACTGGTTATTAATCCAAATTTATGCCAATGATGCGGACACCCAAGTTCTTCTTTTAAAAACAAAGAACCTTACAATAACATCATCCACCTAGGTGGATGTGAAATAAAGATGACACTCTAATTCTTTTTACTTGAAATGTTAATGGGAAAGTGACATTTGTAATCTGCCTGGAGAAAATTTTTTATGAAAACAACAGTAAAAGGGTTTTAAAAGGGGGAAAAAATGCCATGTATCTTAAAACAGAAGTCAAATTTAGTTTTACTTAAATGGCTGTGTTTTTATTTCAACTTTCAGCTATGATTTTTAAAAGGTATATTCAAACTATCAGTTTTCTTGTATACCCAAGTCAAAAAGAAGGGAGATCTGAAAAGTATCTAGATACCAAAATAGATGATCTTGTAATGTTTCCTTCTTCTCATGTGTTAGAAAACAATTTCTAAAGGGAATTCTAGTTTATGAAATGTATTCCTGGGGCCTCTAAATTCTTTGTACTGGGAAACATTCTAACAAATACACAGAACATTAATCTGTCAAGGGTCCTACCTAGACACAGAGAGGGTATGTTGGCAATCAGATTGGACATCTTTGGGATCTTTTCCTTTCCAATTTACTAGCTGAGGACTTTGCCCTGAGAATCACCAGTGATGACAAGGCAGTGAAACAAGCTTTTGTTACTGTCATGGTATTGTCTGTAAAAATTTTAAATTTATGGAATCCTTTTTCTTGGGGCTGGAGGAAGAGGAGGAGGAGGATTAGAGAGAAGGATAAGATTCTCAGTTGAAAAGATAACCTTTTAAAGTAAAGGGAAGATGCTGGAGAAAAATTACACCATATATCAAGACCATTATTTATGATAATCCACATTCTGAAACTAAGGAAACTGTGTATAAATAATGTCTGGATTTTTCCCTTGCTAACACATATAATTCTTAACTCTGGACTTTCTCCCTCAGAATTACTTCTTGTCCCAAATAATTTCAAAATCACTTTTGAATGTTACTGTTTTTTTTTCCTTTTAAATAGAGTGTGTTTTTTTTTTTTCCCAGAACACTTTTAGGCTCACAGCAAAATTTAGCAGAAGATACAGCATTCCCATATATCTCCCTAGCCCCTTTCAGACCACCCCCCCCATTATCAATATCCCACATCAAAGTGGTAATTTGCTACAACTGATGAACTTACACTAGCGCATCATCATCCCCCAAAGTCCATAGTTCATTTAGGGTCCACTCTTGGTGTTCATTCTGTGGGTTTTGACAAATATATAATGACATGTATTCACAATTACAGTAGCATACAGAATGGTTTCACCCATTCATCCCTCCCTCTCAAAGGATCTGGGCATTTAAAAAGTCTTTTTTGAAGCACTATGTTTAAGCATAGATAAGATCCCCCCCGGAAAAAAAAATTTAGACAAGTACTAAATCACCCACGGTTTCCAACATGAAAAACAAAATAAGCAGTGTTCATCAACAGAAGGCTAATTAAGGGGCAAACAAAATGCTTTCCTAGTAGCAAGCAAGATTAACAAAAAATGTTAGTGTCATCTAAAAGGAAAGAAAAAAAAATAAGAAACCAAACTAGAAGACAATAGAATTCAATCACTGTACTCTCAGAATTGACGTTTTCCTGTTCTTGAATTCCCTTTTGGATGCTGAGTCTAGTCATAAGGGGCAAACCTGTTTTTTCCCCCACTTCAGGCTTTTTATTTTTCAACAGCCTCCTAACCTAACCTAATATTTTGCACTTGCATATATTTTCATAAATCCAACTTTGGGCATGAAACAGAACTAATGCTTAGGTCAGAAACCTTGTTTTTAGAAGATGAAGTAATGGCAATGTTGATAACCCTACAATGAGCAGGAGAAGAAAATTCAGTTCTCTTATTTTCCCCACCTTTACTCTCAACAGAACTTCCTTCCTTATTTGATAAGGAGCAACTAGCTTAAATTTACTGCAAAGTAAATATAAGCAATTCCCTGGAATGAGATGACCTTTCACACAGAACGTTACACTGGAATGTGACATCAGCCTTCCCTCTGAGTCTCGTCCCCACCCTTTTCTCCCAGGAAACGCGAGTCTCCTAAAATCACGGAGCGGCTCACGTAGTGGGTCCTGACACCCGGAGGGCATCAGTTTCCAGTCAGGAAACGACTCCTGGAGGTAAACCACCGTGACAATCGTCTTTTGGGACTAGTTGCCAAAGAAGGAGAACATTTTCTTTGGAAGAGGAAGGCAGTGCTTTGGAAGTCAAGTAATGAATGACCAAAGAGAGACAAAAACAAAAAACAAAAAACAACCCAAAAAACTTCACCTTTCAACGCCATCACCAGCCGCTGCTGTGAAGGAAGCACGTTAATTCAAGGCTCACTCTAGACAGCCTCTGACTGCCAAGCTGGGAAGGGAGGAGGTCTGAGCTGTCAAGTCTCATCAGTGACCCCAAACCACAAAGACTTAATAAAGTTCAGCTTCCTGAGACAGGAAGAAGTAGTGTCATGGTTTCGCCCGAACTCGCCCTAACCTCATCTTCTTCTAGGGAAGCACAGGCCCAGCCGAAACATCTTAAGGAAAAGTTTCAAACACCTCCAACCGTTGGACTTGGTTAGACAGGGAGAAATGTCCCGCGCCCGCCCTCGCGCGCGACCCTCTGTCGCTCCTGGGTTTCAGGAGTTAGTAGAGCCAGCGGACGCCCCCTCTACACGAAGGACCGGGTACTGGGGCCCGGGGCGCCGGAGATCCCGACACCGCTCGTGCCCGATGGCCCTTGCGCCCCGCCAGCCACTGGTAGCCAGGGGGCGGCGCCCCGCGCAGGTGAAGCGGCTGCTGCCAACCACCCTACCTTCTTCACTTTGGCCTCCAGGTCCATGTCTATGTGTCAGAGGGGGTTCTCCTCCTGTCGGGGATATCACGCCCAGGATCGCCTGGCGAGGCACCGCTGCGGGGACTGGAGGAGATGTGCCGGGACACCGGCGCCACCGCCGCAGCCACTTGCCTGGCACGGTCAAACTTCCGCCCCCCAGTCGACTGCAGCCGGCCTGCGGCGGGGCCCGGGAACAAAGAGGCCCAAGCAGCCAATGGCAGCCAGGCTCCGCCGGGCAGCCGCCAATCACCGAGCGCCGCACGCACCTTCGCGGCCGAGCGCGGCGCCAGCAAGGTGAGGGGCGGGGCCGCGTTCTGGGCGGTACCCTGCGGAGCTCAAGCGGGCAGTCCCAAGCTGGTCTCTGAGGCTCCGCAGGGCGTCCTTACTACCTGGAGCCTAGGCTGCCTCCAGCTGAAATGAGGAAGAGCCTTTTCCATTCAGTCAACTTGTACCTGTTTTGCTTGGGACTTTAAATATGAATTCAGAGCAAAAAGAAGAGAAGAAGTTGTGGGGATTGTTAGGGATCTTCGTGATGGGCAATGCACTCTATAATTTCACTGTTGAGTTGTGGAAGTGGCCCTTGGCTAAATACTTTTCTCCAATATCCCAAGCACTGGCAGGAAACCTTATCTCAGACAGCCAGTGAAGATGGTTATATGGGTTTTCTGAGCATTTAATAGTTCAAAAATGAGGAAAATGTGAACCATTAAAGAGATAACTACACCATTCCTTTGGAAGGAGAGGCTTGCCCTTTGTCCCTGTTGTGTGAAATGATGTGAGGTTGCTCTTGTGCCTCAGGCTTTGAGGAAGCAGTACAGGCATAACAAGCAGCGCTGCAACTCTGGATTTGGATCCATATCATGCCCTCGTTCAGGAGCAATTGCAATGAATACTATTGGTTTGGTGGACTTGAAAGGAATTCTAGGGATTATTGAGTATATCTTTCTCATTTTGTAGGGAACTGAGGACCCCAGAGGTGTAGGGGCCTGCCCAATTTCTTAGTCTCCTGGGGACAGAGCTAAAGCTCATGAGGCTTTAAGCATGTTTGGGATGGAAAAAAACAACCTTTTGACTAATTAAAAGAGGGGAAGTCCTTTTTTTTCCACACTCTGTTCATGGTAATGATAGAAAATTATAATGATTAGATAGCAAATGACCACTTAATCTGCATCGACTTTGAAAAGGGAAGAAGTCCCAAATCGTGTAGCTATTTAGGTCCACATTTCTCTCCCCTTTGGTGGTGGTGGTGGTGGTTTAGTCGCTTAGTCATGTCTGACTCTTGCAACCCCATGGAGTGTAGCCTGCCAGGCTTCTCTGTCCATGGGCTTCTCCAGACAAGAATACTGGAGGGGGTTGCCATTTCCTTCTCCAGAGGACCTTCCCAGCCCAGGAATCAAACCCAGGTTTCCTGCACTGCAGGCAGATTCTTTACCAACCAAGTTACAAAGGAAGCCCTCTCTCCCCTTTACCTCTTGAAATTTGGTAACTGAAAAAAACCCAAGTTCATTTTAGCTAACATTTTCAACCCCTTCGCCTGCACAGGGACCTTCGCCTGAACAGACCCCTGGTGTCCCCTGCCTTTTGTTTGTAGAAGAACATTTCCTAGGCTTTTCCCAAGTTCCCAAAAGCAAATTTAATCAGTTAAATGAGAAATTGCAAAAACAAAGGAAAACAGTCAAATGAAATTAAATAATAATAGTTTAGTTGTAAAGTAAAGCCAAGGACCTTTAGTTTCTTCCTTCAGTGCTATAGATAGTATCCTGAGCCATATCCTTGTACTGGTTTTATAGAAACCAGCCCCCACTCCGACCAGATGAACCACCATCATGTAGGCCCCAGACCAGTTGGAATTAAGAAGGTTGATGATTGGGATTCTTGAAATAGCATGCTGTTACTTCACCACTGACAAGTTAGAGAATTGTGCACAAGCTGGTCAGGTGCCCTACAACCCATACCCCAAATGCTGCCTTTAAAAACCCTCCCCTAAAAACCACTGGGGAATTTTTGTGTTTTGAGCATTAGTTGCTTGTTCTCCTTGCTTGGTGCCTTTGCAGTAAACACTACAGTTTGCTTCACCACAACCTGGTGTCAGTAACTTAGCTTTGTCTGGTATTGGATGAGCATATCCAAGTTCAGTTCAGTAACAAACAGAGCACTGATTTATGATGTGATGTTTTTCTTATTCTATTAATAAACTAAAAATGGAATGACCAAGATGGTCATGAATTTTTCTTCTCACTCAGTTTAATTAAAACTTTTCCAAGCCGTTTTCCCAAACCATGCTACAATATTTGGGCTCCTGCAAAGTTTACCCAATGTAAACTCCAATGAACATGAGGTTTAGTTATGACAAGGCAATTTGGTCTCTTTCAGGGAGCTTAACAGATGGAAAATGTCCAGTGAAACAGTTTAAATAAGACATCAAACAATGTTGTAACATAAATTTTGGGCTTATTTTGTGAAATTTGAGAGACAACACTAAAGAAAATATCTGGAAACACTTTTTAGCATCATATTTTGCCCTTCTCTCTCTCTTCCCTTCCAAACTTCCTAGCTTCACTTTGTGTATCATTTGCTAGTTGAAATTAAGTGATATCTACTTGGAAACTTTACTGTGCCAATTATATAGAAGGTAACATTGAGGTAGATAAGTTTTAGGTTAGGAGGATTAGGTTCCAATTTCTTATTAGCTGTTCAAGTGTTACGCTAGCACAGGCACTGTTTGATGACAAGAAGTAATTGATGACAGAAAAATGAGTAGAAGATAACACACATGTTTCTGGCTTGCTCATTTTTGTAGGTGGTTCTGGAAAAAGGAAAATATAGGATGATAGGCTGTGTTTTGTTTCGTTGTGTTTTCCTGGGAGTGGGGTGAGGACAAAGTGTATAGTTTTTAATAATTAGGTTTGAGGTTGGGATACTGAAGTATCCAAATATTAATCTTAGAGATGAGAACTGGAGTAGAATGGTGGTTTAGGTGTCAATATCTTACACAGATGAATAATTGAAAGCCATAGATAGAAAAGATCAGCATGGGATATAGCAAAATAAGAGAGAATATCAATGACCTCAATTGAGCAAAGTTGAGCAAGAAAAGCACAGAAAGGAAATAAAGGTTAGTTAGTAAGAAAAAAAAAAAAATTAGAGTTCCCAACAACCAAGAGAAGAAATTCAAGAAGGAATTCATCAACAATGTCCAGCTGTAGAAAAGGGTCAAATTCTCATTGAATTTAATAGAAAGTAAACTTGGAGAGTAAAAGCTGTATCCCATAACAAATAGGCTATGGGACAAGCTGAGGCAGCAACATAGAGAGTTAAAGGAGTAACCAGTGATTTTAAGGAAGTAGAAAATATTGGAGTTGAGTGATTGACTCGAGGAGAGGAAGGATGAGCATTCCTAAGAGTCACTCTTAGGAATCTATTTTGGTGACTTGTACGATGGCTGTAAATCTCTCCTTGAGGTGGGAAGTTTCCCACCTTAAGATGAGTTTCATTTGTATGTAATGATTTTGCAAGGCCGATTGGATCTGAGTTTGGCAGTCAAAAGAGACATCTGGGCTGGAGGTACAGATGACTGGTTATAAATACACAGGCACAAACATCTACATATACACATGTATGTATAAACACACACACAGTCAACATACTAAAAACACTAGGAAAAGGAAACACTGATAGGAAAGTTTTCTACACCAGGTAAGGTAAATTTCCAAGGTAAAGATGACTGTACCTGTCTCCTCAATTATTAATGTAGCCCCAGGTGGCCTCTTTAGCAAATGTTCATAATTTATTAACACCTGTTAGAGGAACTCCTGTGCTCCTGACTTAGCTATTATTGCTCATTAGCAGCTTGTATGGATTACACATTGTTCTATGGGGATACAAATATTTTTTCAGAGCAAATTATTACCTGTAAAAAATGTTTTTAATTGACCAAACACTGGGGTTTGGCTAGGGAAATAATGAATAATTCACATGATAAATTTATATTAATTTTTTCTAACAGTAAACAATCATAATGTTATAGGAACAAAATAGAAAATAGAATGGTATATAGATTGTGCTCACACTGTGCAAAAATATGCACAGAAAAGAAACATAAGGAAAATTCATAAAATGTTAGCAGTGGTTTGTCTCTGATTGATAGGTCCATGGGGATTCCTTCTTTCCTTTAAAAAATATTCCATGATGATCATGACATATTTCTTAATTGAAAAACCTTATCTAAAAATATATTATTCAAAGCATTTTAGGAAGATGGGGCATTGGCAGTATAATTTTTCAATCTGCTTTAAAAATCCACATTAAAAAAAAAAAACACAGAAAACTGATCAACTGGTTAGCAAAACCAAAAGCCATGGACAGCCTTTACAGTAAAACTGGCAAGGTATCTCCATAAATCCAAAAGCACGACCGATAAGGACAAGCCAACAAGAGCCACAAGACATGCATGTATAAAAAATTCTGACAGGAGAGGGAGAGAAGCAATAAGTTGGTATCTGATGGACACCAGGAAAATTCAAGATGTTCTCCTCCAGGTATCCATTTTGAAACACTGAAGTCCAAATTTCAAACAGCAGCTGAAACAGTGAAATGTGACTGAAGGGGCTGAATTAATCTCACCCTGTGATATCTCATAATTCACCCACTAGGACTTCTTTCTAGGAGAAGGGTCCCACAATAAGAAACTTTGTCAAGGGAAATCAGAATAAGTAGGTTGGGGCAGAAGAAACAATGGAAAGTAAAAGGCAAGAGGAGCTCTCTCCAATGTAGTAGCCGGTAACCACATGGAGTTATTTAAAATTCAATTAATTAGGTTAACTAAAATCAATTAAAGCTTAAAATTTGACTTCTCAGTCATACTAGCCACATTTCAAGTGCTCAGCAGCCAGAAAAGGAAATGGAGTCAGGACATCTCCAAAATCCTCTTGTATTTGTTAGCGCTTCATAAAAACAACGGAGGATGGAGCTCTCTGAAGTTGGACACAATTTTCTAAACTCTACTT